AAAGTCACAAATTCGATGGTTTTGCGAGCGTACATGTTAAAATGTGCAAAATATAAGAGTTTTGAGAAATTTTCTTAAAGTCACAAATTCGATGGTTTTACGATCGCACATGTTAAAATATGCAAAATATTAGAGTTTTGAGAAACTTATTGAAAATCACAAATTCGATGGTTTTACGATCGTACATGTTAAAATGTGTAAAATATAAAAGTTTTTAGAAACTTACTGAGAATCACAAATTCGATGGTTTTACGATCGCACATGTTAAAATATGCAAAATATTAGAGTTTTGAGAAACTTATTGAAAATCACAAATTCGATGGTTTCACGATCGTACATGTTAAAATATGCAAAATATTAGAGTTTTGAGAAACTTATTGAAAATCACAAATTCGATGGTTTCACGATCGTAAATGTTAAAATGTGTAAAATATAAGAGTTATAGAAACTTACTGAAAATCACAAATTCGATGATTTTACGATCGCATATGTTAAAATATGCAAAATATTAGAGTTTTGAGAAACTTATTGAAAATCACAAATTCGATGGTTTTACGATCGCACATGTTAAAATATGCAAAATATTAGAGTTTTGAGAAACTCATTGAAAATCACAAATTCGATGGTTTTACGATCGTATATGTTAAAATGTGTAAAATATAAGTTTTTAGAAACTTACTGAAAATCACAAATTCGATAGTTTTACGATCGCACATGTTAAAATATGCAAAATATTAGAGTTTTGAAAAACTTATTGAAAATCACAAATTCGATGGTTTTACGATCGTACATGTTAAAATATGCAAAATATAAGAGTTTTGAGAAACTTATTGAAAAATTCAACAAATTCCGATTGGTTCTACGATCGCACATGTTAAATAGCAATATTAAGTTTTTAAAACTATTGAAATCACAAATTCGATGGTTTACGATCGCACATGTTAAAAATATGCAAATATTAGAGTTTTGAAAACTTATTGAAAGTCACAAATTCGATGGTTTTGCGAGCGTACATGTTAAAATGTGCAAAATATAAGAGTTTTGAGAAATTTTCTTAAAGTCACAAATTCGATGGTTTTACGATCGCACATGTTAAAATATGCAAAATATTAGAGTTTTGAGAAACTTATTGAAAATCACAAATTCGATGGTTTTACGATCGTACATGTTAAAATGTGTAAAATATAAAAGTTTTTAGAAACTTACTGAGAATCACAAATTCGATGGTTTTACGATCGCACATGTTAAAATATGCAAAATATTAGAGTTTTGAGAAACTTATTGAAAATCACAAATTCGATGGTTTCACGATCGTACATGTTAAAATATGCAAAATATTAGAGTTTTGAGAAACTTATTGAAAATCACAAATTCGATGGTTTCACGATCGTAAATGTTAAAATGTGTAAAATATAAGAGTTATAGAAACTTACTGAAAATCACAAATTCGATGATTTTACGATCGCATATGTTAAAATATGCAAAATATTAGAGTTTTGAGAAACTTATTGAAAATCACAAATTCGATGGTTTTACGATCGCACATGTTAAAATATGCAAAATATTAGAGTTTTGAGAAACTCATTGAAAATCACAAATTCGATGGTTTTACGATCGTATATGTTAAAATGTGTAAAATATAAGTTTTTAGAAACTTACTGAAAATCACAAATTCGATAGTTTTACGATCGCACATGTTAAAATATGCAAAATATTAGAGTTTTGAAAAACTTATTGAAAATCACAAATTCGATGGTTTTACGATCGCACATGTTAAAATATGCAAAATATTAGAGTTTTGAGAAACTTATTGAAAATCACAAATTCGATGGTTTTACGATCGAATATGTTAAAATGTGTACAATATTAGAGTTTTGAGAAACTTATTGAAAATCACAAATTCGATGGTTTTACGATCGCACATGTTAAAATATGCAAAATATTAGAGTTTTGAGAAACTTATAGAAAATCACAAATTCGATGGTTTTACGATCGCACATGTTAAAATATGCAAAATATTAGAGTTTTGAGAAACTTATTGAAAATCACAAATTCAATGGTTTTACGATCGCACATGTTAAAATATGCAAAATATTAGAGTTTTGAGAAACTTATTGAAAATCACAAATTCGATGGTTTAACGATCGCACATGTTAAAATATGCAAAATATTAGAGTTTGAGAAACTTATTGAAAATCACAATTCGATGTTTTACGATCGTACATGTTAAAATGTGTAAAATGTAAAAGTTTTGAGAAACTTACTGAAAATCACAAATTCGATGGTTTTACGATTGTACATGTTAAAATATGCAAAATATTAGAGTTTTGAGCAATTTGCTTAAAGTCACAAATTCGATGGTTTTGCGAGCGTACATGTTAAAATGTGCAAAATATAAGAGTTTTGAACAATTTACTTAAAGTCACAAATTCGATGGTTTTGCGAGCGTACATGTTAAAATGTGCAAAATATAAGAGTTTTGAGAAATTTGCTTAAAGTCACAAATTGGATGGTTTTACGATCGCACATGTTAAAATATGCAAAATATTAGAGTTTTGAGAAACTTATTGAAAATCACAAATTCGATGGTTTTTACGATCGCACATGTTAAAATATGCAAAATATTAGAGTTTTGAGAAACTTATTGAAAAAATCACAAATTGGATGGTTTTACGATCGCACATGTTAAAATATGCAAAATATTAGAGTTTTGAGAAACTTATTGAAAATCACAAATTCGATGGTTTTTACGATCGCACATGTTAAAATATGCAAAATATTAGAGTTTTGAGAAACTTATTGAAAATCACAAATTCGATGGTTTTACGATCGCACATGTTAAAATATGCCAAATATTAGAGTTTTGAGAAACTTATTGAAAATCACAAATTCGATGGTTTTACGATCGCACATGTTAAAATATGCAAAATATTAGAGTTTTGAGAAACTTATTGAAAATCACAAATTCGATGGTTCTACGATCGCACATGTTAAAATATGCAAAATATTAGAGTTTTGAGAAACTTATTGAAAATCACAAATTCGATGGTTTTACGATCGCACATGTTAAAATATGCAAAATATTAGAGCTTTGAGAAACTTAATGAAAATCACAAATTCGATGGTTTCACGATCGAATATGTTAAAATGTGTAAAATATTAGAGTTTTGAGAAACTTATTGAAAATCACAAATTCGATGGGTTTACGATGGAATATGTTAAAATGCAAAATATTAGAGTTTTGAGAAACTTATTGAACATCACAAATTCGATGGTTTTACGATCGCACATGTTAAAATATGCAAAATATTAGAGTTTTTAGAAACTTATTGAAAATCACAGATTCGATGGTTTTACGATCGCACATGTTAAAATATGCAAAATATTAGAGTTTTGAGAAACTTATTGAAAATCACAAATTCGATGGTTTTATGATCGCACATGTTAAAATATGCAAAATATTAGAGTTTTGAGAAACTTATTGAAAATCACAAATTCGATGGTTTTATGATCGCACA